AGTTTACGATTGTATTTGACACTTTAGTCTTTAAAATGGATGGATGGATGGATGGATATTAGAGTTTGTAGCCTAAACGGTTGAACGAATTTCAATGAAATTTAGCATAGATGTAGAAGATAGTCTGCAAGAACACATAGGCTGTTAACTTTTGTTTTTTCCAATACCACGCGGACGGTGTCGCGGGCGAAAGCTAGTTTTTAGTAAATAAAAAAAATAATTGTTTTCTTTGTAACGTTCCATCATCAAGTTTGAATATTTCTGATTTGTAGTCTTTAACTGTAGGTTTCCATTTTCTTTACTCTATTAAAAACCTTTTATCTGTGTAAAGTTCGCAAATATCTTTGTACTTTTCAATGTCTGATTCACGAAACGGGAGTTTAATTTTCCGCACCATTACCCGCTTGATACACGACGCTTAACACTCGCCACGTCACTTGGCATCGCTCACGTGTAACTTGGAGCTTTTAAATCATCGATAATGGCTTGTCTGTACCTTTTACTGTTAAAACAAATGAGCTCGCGAATTTATAAACCCTTTGTTACTCTACTTGTAATATATTTTTCCGTTCTTAAATGCCAAAACGCAAGCAGCATAAAAAACCTTGCCCAAACAAAATCCTTTAATAAAATCTTAACATGCACCCAAAATAAACCTCTTAAATTCTTAATTATAAGAAATTTAATCGCTTATTTAAGCCAAAGTAGCCCAGCACCAGTGCCAAAGTAAATCTCTCATTAAAAGTTTTAAAAAATAAAAACGGCCAAAAACTCAATTCGCGACTCAACTTACATAAGCAAACTCATTACTGGTCTCAGGAAGGAACTATTTTGGATGAAAAGACGTGAAGCGGGAGCACGCGTATTTAAGCGATGTGCAAAGACCGCTCAAGTGTCGCCCTCTAGCGAACGAAATTTGTATTTTAATGAATTCTATAGCTCAACATGGGAAATTGAAAGTCAGATATTACCACTTAATCCACCACCACTATCGTCGTCATCATCGCCAGTATGTGAGAACCACAATATACATATCTATCGATGTATAACTTTAAGGGCCTACGTACAAAATATATGATGTAAATATCGGATTTTGGTACTCTATCTGACAGACACGTCACTGTTAAGCTATCTGACTCTCTATCAGCAAGTGGTGGGACAAGCCCTTAAGTAAATAGAGTCCCAGCGGCCACAACATTCAATTGCCCGCGCGAGGTTCGCATTTAAAAGAACCTGAGAGAATTTGTAGCGGTTACATTGAACATTTCAACTTCACATATTGCTCTGAATCCCGAATACTTCAATACATAAACTATCAAGAATAACTCAAAGGTTACAAGTAATATACAATAGACAATAAACGTAAAGCACTTCAATTTGAACCAAGATTACAACATCCTGAGTGTACTTTAAACATCAAATTTTTCAAATATCTCATTACTAGCTTTCGCCCGCGGCTCCGCACACGTGTAAAAAACAATAGCCTATGTGTTCGTCCAGACTATGCTCTACATCTGTGTCAAATTTCATCACAACCGTTCAGCTGTTTAGGCTACAAACTGTAACAAACATCCATCCATCTAAACTTTCGCCTTTATAATATACAAGCTTTCGCCTGCTACTTCGTCCGCGTGAAATAAAAAAAAAACAAAAGACAGTAGCCTATGTGTTCTTCAAGACTATCCTATACCAAATTTCATTGAAATCTGTTGAGTCGTTTAGGCTACAAACTCTAACAAACATCCATCTATCCATCTAAACTTTCGCATTTATAATATAAGTAAGATATGCATACAAGTAAAATACCTAAAAGCTAGTGAACTGTAAAACAAATACGTAGTAAAACCTCTTTAATGAAATAAGCAATATATTTCCTAGTACGTAGATGAACTCACGAAACAATACTAAAGCGAGTCAAATGAAATTGTCTGTACGATAGCAATAACGTTTTAGAGAGTTCACGTATTGCAACATATTGAAACGTTCCTTGTCTCAACATTAGGAGACACAGACGACTCGCTAAGAAACTGTCTTTATGAAGTAAAATAAACTCAACTCAAAACTTAAGTTGACTGAGTTTCACTACTTCAGTTACACTATATTTCGGGGAAAATCTCATTACGACTTTTCATATATGTAGCTACAATTTCTTTAATAATACTTTTACACTTATTATACTACTCGTAATATTAAAAACGCGAAAGTTTAGATGGATGGATGGATGCTTATCCGACTTTGTAGCCTAAACGGCTTGTCGTATTTCGATGAAATTTGGTGTAGATGTAGAGCATAGTCTGGAAGAACACATAGGCTATTCGCTTTTGTTTTTTTAATGCCAAGCGAACGGAGTCGTGGGCGAAAGTCAGTAAAATTATAAATGCGGAAGTTTAGATGGATGGATGGTTTGTAGCCTAAACAGTTGAACGGATTTTGATAAAATTTGGTACAGATGTAGAGAATAATCTGTAAGAAAATTTATTCTACTTTTGTTTTTATTTTTAATTCCACGCGGATGGAGTCGCACGCTATTGCTAATTTTTAATAACGCGAAATACTTTATCTTTAGTTATTAAAACTATTTTTTACAATCTTTGTAATGTAACTGACCTGTTTAAAACACTATCCTGAAATGTAGAAATGTTAAATTTATAATTCGTTAAAAGTGAATTTTCTATTTTAGCTTTGAAATTTTACGTGGTACGGTTAAGGCAACTTAATTACATACAAGCACTTTGGTTTGAGTGCACTCCGCTTGCTTCATGACCGCCTAAATACACGCCTTAGCAATTTATAACGAATAAACTAAAATTTTTTTCGAAACGTAATAATATTTACTTATTAAAATATTTAAATACAACGACCCTGTCGCATAACGTTTTTTCTGAATATTCAGAGTGGATATTAGCGTAAAATGAAGTAAAATAAATAGAAATTTATATCTTAAATATTTTTTTCAGATTAATGACTATTGACGTCCAACTTCTTTGTAGATATAATTTTATATCTCTCTACATTGAAAAAGTTTTGCTTTAAATTCTAAACTGTATTTGATATTCTTAAAAACATTAAGAAGCTAAAAAAAGTCATATTTGTTTCTTTGTTGCCTGTTACATCAACTTGAGAAATTAGTGAATTTGAAAACTGAACAAAAGTTTTCTATCCCCGATTGGTTGACTGAATGGTTACGCGTTCGTCATGTTATAACCCACCCATTCAACAAAAAGGGTTACAGCATATAACAGTGATGTAACTGTTTTCGTCGCATGGTTCGTAACTTAACTAGTGACCGTACCGAATAACGAAGACATATCCTTTCATCATTAGTTAACGACCACCGCAATTTGCCAGCGACCATCCCACGACTAATGGATTAACGTGCATACCGTAACACGGACACTGTAGGAGATTTATGTGAACCGTTCCCTAATTATAATTTATTTTATCATGATATTTTACACTAGCGAAAAATAATCAATAAAAAAGACAAGACACATTCACAAACAAAGCAAGCATTTTATTATGTTTAACAACTTAGATAGTAAAGTTAGATTAAATATTGTTTAGTGCAATTTTACGATTATTAGAAAATTTTATTGACGACATTACATTAGAAATCGAGTTATTGATTTGTCCCAATGTAAAAAAAAACAAATTGATAAAATATGAATTACTCTATCATAATATACAGATTTTAGTGAAAAAGCATAGTACTTATAACTTCTCGGATAATTTTCTAGTGCTCGCATCCGTAGAAAGTTCGTAGTACATAACTCGACTCGAATACCAGACAGTTTGTTACATGAGTATAGAGTGTAGATAAGTAGAGTGTATTTTCCTTTACTTTTGTTACGTTCTCCGCTCTCGTTAAAAATTAAATATAATATTATCTTTTATATTCCACTATAATAAGAATATTTTGCCCGTAACGATAATTTGTTAAAAGTGAAAATATAGTGTCAAAAAATTGAATTTTATTCGCAGCAAAAAACAACGCCATCTGTTTTCGAGGTTAAACTATACTTTAAACGGCTGTCAGGTATTTCAGACTTATGCTGCCCTCTATAGGCTGAAAGAATTTCAGCATTTGGATTCTACCAAAACATGCGCAAAAACTAAAGAGGGATTTGGTTTGGAATGTTTTCGTTAGATGGTACTTTTTAAGGATCTAACAGTGAAAGTAATAAATGTAATTAAATCCTAGTAAAAATTGTACCATATTATTTTATTTACGGCCTATGACGGAGAAAATTGCTACAAAGAATTTAATTTTTTATGCTTTACAATAACTTTCAGTGGCCTTTTAAAACCTTTTTCTTAAATGCGCAAAATTGTCATAATGCGACACTTTGGATTCTACAAAGAAATTATGATATTGTAATTTTCGGAATCGAATAAAGTATTGTTAAGTTTTACATTTTATTTAAATGCTTTGGCATTATCTTACATGAATGCCTTCAGTATTCAATACCATAGCTTAACAAAAATCAATGCGGTTTGGCAACAAGACATTTGTCTTTGAACATAAAGCGCATACAGCGCTTTCATCCATAGACAATCTTAAAGTACTGTTACTTTTTTTTCTTAAAAATTCTACAACAATTTAAAAGATTTTTAAGATTTCCAATAATTTTGATAGTTATATTTTTACAACGAGCATTTTCAATGACTTTTTTTCATACCTTTTAGCGAAAACATAAATTTTTGCCAATTTTTATAAACCAAATATTCTTAAAAAGGACAAATATCAATAAATTATTTTACAAATTTTATTACGGTGTAAATAGTTTTAAAATAGGCACTTAATCTCTACTTTCTAGTATATTATGTAATAAATAGGTTAGTAGTTTAAGTGCGAATTTTTAAAGCGCTTTCCTGCTGGAATATACCGAGCATTACGACTGTAAGATACCAACGCTTTGTAGTTAGTCCGTTTCAGACGGAGAGAGCGCTGCCATCGCTTAAGGCTGTATCTCGCCCTGTGTCTAATCTAACGCAGAATGGGATTTGGGATAAACCACATTAACATTTAATACAAAAATCTTCACACAATATAAAGGTAAGTCGAAGAAATTATTTGCTTATAACTAGTATATATTATTGATTTTCAAAGCGTTACAAATTTATTTCAGATTAATTAATACATTACAGACATAATGATATATAAAAAATCCTTTGGTAATCAGAAATAAAGACTCTTTGTATTTGAATTAATTAATACATTTGAATGCGCAATATCGATTTATCTCTACATATGAAAACACACGGCCTGAATCTCAAAACCATGTCGGAGAGAATTCTTTACAATTCGAATTTGGAATAATCTAGATGTATTGTAATTCAAATGTTTATTCCATTTAAAAATATTTGCAAACAAAATTCATGAAAAGCATAACAAGATATTGTTATCATTTGTATAAACAAATAATACATTTGTCGGTATATATGTACAAACATTAATTGACTCTGAAAACACGTTATCTTGATGTACAGTACAAATAAAGTCCTAAACATATGATATTCGAATGATAAATTGTAATAGTATAGTAGATTGCCTTACTCTACCTGTACACATATCATCAGAGTCAATCAATTTCATCTTATTATTATGAATTCAAAAATATGGATGGATGCATATTTATTACTACGTATCTCCAAAACGGCTTGACAGATTTCGATGACATTTGGCACAGATGTAGAACACAATTTGAAAGAACACAGAGGTTCTTACTAAGCCTTAGTGAATTTCGCTTGTTCAGAGTCACAGGCGACAGTTAAAAAATGTATTTAAATTATTAATATCCTCATTGTTCCAAAGAAATTTCTTCTATATATTCATTTCTTCAATTAACTTTCATTAAAAGAGTAATAATTGTTACTTAATCAAACAAAAGAATAGCGATATTGGATAGAGTGATAATTAGTTTGACCTAATAAGAATGAATTCTCCTCGATCCCTTATCAAATTAAATTAATGCAAAGGTTAACGCGCATCTCAATGCCACAGTCACGATGAGATCTAGGTCAATCGAAGCTTTTCCAATAAATTACTGGTACACAACAGACATTTGATATTAAAAATAAAGTTACACATAATCGTTCAAAAAAAACTGTGCAATTACAATAAACCTACGTGAATCTATTCTTTTGCTCTTCAATTAACAAAAATCTCAATATGAAGCCATTAACTAAAATTTGAAATAAAAAAACGTACATTTTAAAAAGATTAAAAAAAGGAAAGGTTTGTTTATGGTTTTTGTATGTATTATTCTATTGAAATAACTCAACTGACCGACTGGACCGATTTCAAATATTCTTTCACCAATAAAAAGCTACGTTATCAGTGAGTAACAAAGGTTACATTATTAAACTTCACCTGGACGAAGTCGCGAACAACAGCTAGTACAGAATATAATGGCATATCTACGACAAAAATATTTTCTTCAAATATCATTCGTCGAAATACAATCATAATTAACTGCTAGCTTTATCCCAGTCGGGTAAAAAGATTCTGTCACTGTCAGTCAACGCTTGACGTAATGAAAAAAAATCTGGGTCAAAATACAAAACATTGTACAACAATGCTTTAAATTCTAATTGCAAAAGTTTTTAGACGAACAGGAAATGTTACATAAACGTACTCGGAATTATAATTCCGAATATCAATTACTTTTGTAAATAAATATTTTTGCCCCTCCAATATCGCCAATGTGAAAACTGGTTAGAGTCATGCAATATGTAAAAAAAAAGATCTTTTTCATGGAAAATTTCCTTTTTACATCTTGAATAATAATATTCTTTATTCGACTTTATGTCTATAGAATTGAAAATAATCCATAAACAACATTCTAAAATACTAATTCACGGGACTAGAACAACGTCATAAAATTTTAATTTCAGATTTCTTCAAATTAAAAACATTTTAATTTTTTTTATATATGTGTAAAACACTATACATTACATAACAGAGCATATAAGTGGGCCACACTCACATCAAGTACCACAGCGAAGTTCATATCGGCTGAAACATCTCGGCATTTCACGCAAGGTTGTTCGCAGCCAGACCTTGTGGCACTCTAAGCGTATATTGATTTTGAAGGTATTTTTATATTTTACAATATAGAAATAAACTGAAAGAAAGAACCCTTTGATGTATTTTAATATCAACTTTAACCTTTAGAATATTGTCATTTTTTATTTCAAATCTCAGCTAATTTTCATAGAATGAATCTCGAAACAAATGACCAAGGTATGCAGAAACAAAACATTTTCCGCTGGATTTCCACTGCTTCTCATTCTCTTTGAGAGGCAAAGATAACTATTTATTTTCATATAAACATTTCAGTAGTGAAAATTCACGGTAATTTTTGTATTGCATGTTTTTATAACACTGTGTCGTACAAACGGGTTCGGGTCCCGCAGCACAACCTACCATTAGACTACAATGCTGGCGCATAATATTGTAAACTGAGGGGGAAAT